CAGTCAAGACGGACCGAACAGAAAATCCGTAGAGAGAACTGACCAGAGTATACTTTTCAGAATTCTGATCCTTATATTCGTACGGAAGGCGATATATTGAATTCCTTTCCAGATTCTCAAGCAAGCAGATAGACAGATATTCACCTTTGTGTCTCTATGCAAACACGACAGGTACCCTTACGAGGGAAGAGTATCAACTCGGCGTTGATAAACCCTCTGTGCAAAGGAGGTCGGCGCATGGTGGGTTAGGTATATACAGTGTTTTTCATCGCAGAGAAAATCGTTGTTTATCTGCCTACCTCGTCTGCATTGAGAGAGTTGATGAATTTATGAATAATCGTAAAAATATATCGCATTTCAGTTACGAATGTTGAAAACAATATTCGGACTTTATAGATTTATATTCTATGTACGTCTCACGATTCAAATTTCAAATTGATGCTTGGTTCCAGATCCGAGCAGAACACTGTTTGGCATTCATGGTCCTTATTATAACCTACGAAATTCAAAATGCAGCAGATGTCTACTGGAAAGACCACTATTTGGCAGGAGAGCGAATATGAAGGAAGCAATTCAGTTACGGTTGATGGAAATATTATTCAGATATGTTTCAGATTCAACATCAGTTTCAATTCTCATGGACTTTCTGATATGTAATATTCAGTTGCAGATCCAAAAAGCAAAGTGTTTGATACTTGTCAATAAAATGGAGAAAACAATCCAGTCAAGACGGACTGAACAGAAAATCCGCAAAGAGAACTGACCAGAGTATACTTTTCAGAATTCTGATCCTTATATTCGTACGGAAGGCGATATATTGAATTCCTTTCCAGATTCTCAAGCAAACAGATAGACAGATATTCTCCTTTATGTCTCTATGGAAACACGACAGGTACCCTTACGAGGGGAGAGTATCAACTCGGCGTTTATAAACCCTCTCTGCAAAGGAGGTCGGCGCATGGTGGGTTAGGTATATACAGTGTTTTTCATTGCAGAGAAAATCGTTGTTTATCTGCCTACCTCGTCTGCATTGAGAGAGTTGATGAATTGATGAATAATCGTAAAAATATATCGCATTTCAGTTACGAATGTTGAAAACAATATTCAGACTCTATAGATTTATATTATATGTACGTATGCTTGGTTTCAGATCCGAGCAGCCTATTTGGCATTCATGGTCCTTATTATAACCCACGGAATTCAAAATGTAGCATATGTCTACTGGAAAGACTATTATTCGGAAGGAGAGCGAATATGAAGCAATTCAGTTACGGTTGTTGGAAATATTATTCAGGTATGTTTCAGATTCAACATCAGTTTCAATTCTCATGGACTTTCTGATATGTGATATTTAGTTGCAGATCTGAAAAGCAAAGTGTTTGACACTTGTCAATAAAATGGAGGAAACAATCCAGTCAAGCCGGACCGAACAGAAAATCCGCAAAGAGAACTGACCAGAGTATACTTTCAAGAATTCTGATCTTTATGTTCGTATGGAAGGCGATATATTGAATTCCTTTCCAAATTCTCAAGCAAACAGATAGACAGATATTCTCCTTTATGTCTCTATGGAAACACGACAGGTACCCTTACGAGGGGAGAGTATCAACTCGGCGTTTATAAACCCTCTCTGCAAAGGAGGTCGGCGCATGGTGGGTTAGGTATATACAGTGTTTTTCATTGCAGAGAAAATCGTTGTTTATCTGCCTACCTCGTCTGCATTGAGAGAGTTGATGAATTGATGAATAATCGTAAAAATATATCGCATTTCAGTTACGAATGTTGAAAACAATATTCAGACTTTATAGATTTATATTCTATGTATGTCTCACGTACGATTCAAATTTCAAATTGATGCCCAGTTTCAGATCCGAGCAGCACCCTGTTTGGCATTCATGGTCCTTATTATAACCCACGAAATTCAAGATCTGTAGCAGATGTCTACTGGAAAGACCACTATTCGGAAGGAGAGCGAATATGAAGCAATTCAGTTACGGTTGTTGGAAATATTATTCAGGTATGTTTCAGATTCAACATCAGTTTTAATTCTCATGGACTTTCTGATATGTGATATTCAGTTGCAGATCTGAAAAGCAAAGTGTTCGACACTTGGTAATAAAATGGAGGCAAAAATCCAGTCAAGCCGGACCGAACAGAAAATCCGCAAAGAGAACTGACCAAAGTATACTTTTAAGAATTCTGATCCTTATGTTCGTACGGAAGGCGATATATTGAATTCCTTTCCAGATTCTCAAGCAAACAGATAGACAGATATTCACCTTTATGTCTCTATGGAAACACGACAGGTACCCTTACGAGGGGAGAGTATCAACTCGGCGTTTATAAACCCTCTCTGCAAAGGAGGTCGGCGCATGGTGGGTTAGGTATATACAGTGTTTTTCGTTGCAGAGAAAATCGTTGTTTATCTGCCTACCTCGTCTGCATTGAGAGAGTTGATGAATTGATGAATAATCTTAAAAATATATCGCATTTCAGTTACGAATGTTGAGAAAATATTCAGACTTTATAGATTTATATTCTATGTACGTCCCACGATTCAAATTTCAAATTGATGCTTAGTTTCAGACCCGAGCAGCACACTGTTTGGCATCCATGGTCCTTATTATAACCCACGAAAGGCATCTTACCAACGAAATTCGAAATGTAGCAGATGTCTACTGGGAAGACCACTTGCAGAGAAAATCGTTGTTTATCTGCCTACCTCGTCTGCATTGGGAGAGTTGATGAATTGATGAATAATCATAGAAATATATCGCGTTTCAGTTACGAATTTTTAAAAGAATATTCAGACTTCATAGACTTATATTTCATGTACGTCTCACGATTCAAATTTTAAATTGATGCTTACTTTTAGATCGGAGCAGCACATAGTTTGGCATTCATGGTCCTTATAAGATGCCTACTGAGAGACTCGCCGATAGATCGATCTATCACTATTCGGAAAGAAAGCGAATATGTAGCATCCTAGCATCCATGTTCCACCGCTCATGAAGATCAGTTTTAATTGCCATGAACATTCTGATATGTTATGTTTAGTTGCAGATCCGAAAAGCAAAGTGTTTGATACTTGTCGAAAAATCAGAGAAAACCATCCAGTCAAGACGAACCAAACAGAAGATCCGCAGAGAGAACTGACCAGAGTATACTTTTCAGAATTCAGATCCTTATATTCGTACGGGAGGCGATATATTGATTTCCTTTCCAGATACATTCTCAAGCAAACAGCTAGAGATATTCACCTTTATGTCTCTATGGAAACACGACAGGTACCCTTACGAGGGGAGAGTATCAACTCGGCGTTTATAAACCCTCTTTGCAAAGGAGGCAGTCACATAGTGGGTTAGGTATCATGCATTTCATACCAAAACCAGGAGATATTTTATATGACCACAACATGCTTATAGCTGCAGCCCCCGGAAGCCCTTTCTGACCCAATATGAAGAAAGAAACATTTCAACTCATAGAAGTTTCAACTCACAAAAATTCCAATTTTGTCATGTGTAGAATAATGTTTGCAAATTTGGGATTATCCTTCAAAACAGCTCCTGAGGTTACCGTGGATTTAAAGTAGACATCATCAATGGCTCAACCTCAGCAAGATTACTTCTAGCATCTTGAAGGATTTTTTATAGCACCACAGATATATTGAAAACCTGCAAAACTCTCACAGGTACCTTCTTCATGAATGGTGCTCCACTGCAACAATAATAGCAAACTGTCATGATTCTATATGTGTGTGATTTGTATCCACATTAAGTGTACTCATTTTTATAAGGACAATATACAATATACTTATACTTACAAGTTAAGGTAGGTGGTATCCTAGATTTGGTTTTCATCTATATCTTGTGAAATTAGTTTTTTTTCATCATTTTTATGAAATCTGAGTAATCTGGAGTTCCACAACATAAAACTTTGTTCAGATGACCTAGATTATTTTTGTAAGTGATTATAGAGGTAGATAATTATTTTTTGGTATCATTTTCTCATACTGAATTCATCTGAATAAAAATATCTATCTATATATTTTATGTTCTGGAACTGAATTAATTGATTAATAATTTTTGAAAATGAATGTAGACATTGACAAAACATGTTTTTCACTGTATAAGTACAATGCATTATGATGAATTAATGAATAAAATTTTGTTCAAAGACCTACTTGTGTCTCTCCAAAGAAGTACTAAAATATTTATACACAAAACCGGACGTATAAATTGGCACTTTAGCCCCCTAGGACGGGCGGTAAAGTAGGTGATCGAGCAAAGTACTATCACTAGTTCAAGTAATTTCTAGTAATATACCAATCCATATTATACATAATTTTTAGCCTTCGAATTCAAAATCATTAATAAATTCAATGTTGATAATGAATGAATGTCCAAAACGGTAGTGCTGACTCGTGTATAGAATGTTGTATGTATTTCGGGCGTAACTTGTGTTTATGAACCTAGGCGTGATCTTACTTTATATGCTGCGGTCCTTGAAAGCCCGTGATACATAAATAACAAATATAATAGGTATTCTCTATAGTTATATCGAATTTCAGTCAAACGTAGTGATAAGAAGAGAAATGCCAATACAATACAAATCCCTGGTCAATATACTCAATGCTGCGTTCTCAGAGTCAGTCAACCAATTACTATAGGATAGTAGACATTGTAGACAAGCATTCCAATGTTTAATAAAATTCAGTGCACGAAACACCTTGTAACGCCCTCGTATACATAGCATGGGGAAATTGTTATTTTTCGGATGAAAAAATGAGAAACTGCTTGTCAATTACGTCATTTTGGGGAATTATCTATCAAATTGTTGGCTACACTTATCTCATTTGATTCTTCCCCTATCAAAGACATACTACTTTGTTCCTCTCATATGTCAATCTTCTGATTTCGTGGTTGCAACATCACTACCGAATGTCGTAGCTTCTGACACACTTTAAAAGTCATAAAATGACAGTTACTGTCAGTTACGCCATTGCTCAGACGTTTTTGAATGAATAATAATAAACATAAATAAATGTGTTAGTTTGTGTGGAAATATTTTGATTATTTATTCGTTGAAAGTTTATATGTAATAACAAACAAAATGCCTGCATCTATAGGCGTAAACCTGCGTGTTACAGGACATTGTCGCCAAGGAGGCAGGAAATATATGGAGGATTTCTTTTCAGTTGCATATCAGCAAACAGAAGATGAGAAAGACTTGGAGTATGCATTTTTTGGTATATACGATGGTCATGGGGGTGCAGAGGCAGCAGCCTTCGCTAAGGAGCACCTAATGGAAACCATCATAAAGCACAAAAACTTTTGGTCTGATGATGATGAAGATGTTCTAAGAGCTATCAAAGATGGTTATATGGCAACACATTATGCGATGTGGAGAGAACAAGGTAAATATCGTTTGGTAAACAATAACAATCTGTTACTATCTATCCACTTAGCACAAACTTAGCTACCTTTGATGATATTTCAATTTGATGTTTTTGATAAACTATAAAATAAGTATTCCCGCCATTTTTCTATTGTCTATCAATGAAATACTTTCAGAAAAGTGGCCACGAACAGCATCTGGTCTACCTAGTACAGCAGGGACTACTGCAAGTGTAGCATTTATCAGAAGGGGTAAAATATATATTGGTCATGTTGGTGATTCTGGTATCACTTTAGGTAAGAATTATAGTAATATTAAACCTCAGACTAGTATTGGGACTGGGAGTATCATCATATATGATTTGCCTAATTATTTACTTCACTACTATAGGATATCAAGAACCTGGCAGTACGGAATGGAAAGCTAAAGCCCTGACTAAAGATCACAAGCCTGAAAATTCAGATGAGTTAGCTCGTATTAAGAACTGTGGAGGAAATGTTGTGACAAAGTCTGGTAAGTCTATAATCAAAATATATAATGAATGAATGAAGTGAATTTTGTCTTTGAAGAGCTAATCAATATTGTTTTACTTATCTCAGTAATTTTCTGTACTACATCTACAAATTCAATGTATGAAATTATCAAACTAGAATTTGCATTACATGTTAATTAATTAAACAATCTGAACATACTGTTGAAACTTTTGATGGCTATGGAAATCATCCATAACCATATTTTATCAGGATTTTTCTTATGCCAATGTTGATAAAATTAATGGATCTGAAATCTGCTTTATTTTGAGTAATCATGTGATTCATGTAGGGTTCACAATGGTCAAATGTGTTACTGAAATATCTGCATTAAATATATGCATGCATTAGAAATATAATTATTGGAATTAAACCAAATGAAATTACAATATTTCAAAGATTTCATCCAGATTGTCATTTATTTGTGATTTGCTTCCTTTGAAAATTTTTGATTTTTGTTTCAACAAGTCCTGATTGTTCAATCCACACAAAATATATTTCTGGATATCAAAAACATAGAAAAAATGGTACCACATTCCAAATTATATAATGTAAATAATTTATGAAAGAACAGATGAGTCACCTATAATCCTGCAAAATACTACTTATTTGTAGGAAAATATCACATTGTGTGTAACATGAGAGATTAGTTTTTTATGCATTGCTCTTTAGTTAATAGCCATTAAATGATCATTACATACACTATTTTTCTGGCTATTTTTACAATGACCAATAAATAATGAATCTTCTGTAGTAGTCCATGCTCAAAGTGGAGTGGAATGATCAATAGAGAAAAAACCCAAAGTCGTCTCCACAATTTTTAATGTATAATCAGGCAGTCAATCCTGCTTCATTAAGGTTGATACATGTTTCAGCCATTCCATTTTCAATTTTTCTTATATATAAAATCATGTTTGGTTTTCTATTGTAGATACACTTTGTTATATTCTTTTGACTGAAGATGGTCATTTGAATGGCCGAAACATGTATCAACCTTAATGAAGCAGGATTGACTGCCTGATTATACATTAAAAATTGTGGAGACGACTTTGGATTTTTTCTCTATCAATAAATAATGATAATGAAAGTGCATCATTGCTAACCCAATAGGCTACCTACCAGAATCCTTCAGCCTGTTATACATTGAGTATGTGTTTGCTCCCTCATTCAAGGAAACAAAGTTGTCAATTTACTCCAACGGGCGGAAAATAGTATATTACATAACTAGTGTGGAAAGTGACATTTTTCGCGCAAGTGAACATTTAGCACGAGCCGCAGAGCGGCGAGTGAAACGAAATGAGCGACGGAAATGCACTTTCCAATGAGTTTTCTACACTATTTTTCCTACGACCACAAATATTTATATTATACTAGCTGACCCGGCAAACGTTGTTTTGCCATGAACATTATTTCTAGAATAAAATTTTTAGATGAATATTTATCAGGAAAGTTTTTTTCAATCAATAAAAGCGGGATTCTTAATTTTTTCTAACTATTCTTTATTTTCAACTCACTTCTTTTTAGTTTGGCTATTTATAAAAAGGTGTTTCATTAGTTTTTCAAACTAATATTTATTACAATAGCTGATATCCGGCAAACATTGTTTTGCTATATACAATTATTTCTAGAAAATATCTTTTTAGTTGAATATTTATCAACATACTTTTATTATTTTGTTTTCTAATTCTTCTTCGACCCCGAAAACAACCAGATACAAATTTTGAATAGAATCGGATCCTCGATCGGATCATAATTTACAAAACTCAGTTGCCATATTGGATCCTCCATCTTTAATTCCCTAATTTTGATGAAGAATCATAATTTCCTATCCCAAAATCCCCCAGATACAAATTTGGAATGGAATCCGATCATAGTTACAAAACTCGTCCGCCATATCAAATCATTATCTCCGACTCCGAAAACCCCCCCGATACCAATTTTGCATAAAATCTGATAATAATTAAAAAACTCGTCCGCCATATTGGATCCGCCATTATGAATTTTCCCATTTTGACAAATGATTCACATCTCCGCCTCCGAAAACTGCCCGATGCCAATTTTGAATAGAATCTGATCATAATTAAAAAACTCGTCCGCCATATTGGATCCGCCATTCTGCATTTCCTAATTCTGATGAAAAATCATAATCTCTGAAAACCCCCCAGATACCAATTTTGAATGGAATCTGACCATAATTACAAAACTCGTCCGCCATATTGGATCCGCCATTTTGAATTTTCAGAATTTGACGAAGAAATCATAATCTCTGACCTTGAAAACCCCCCAGATATCAATTTTGAATGGAATCTGACCATAATTACAAAACTCGTCCGCCATATTGGATTCGCCATCATGAATTTCCAAAATTTGACGAAAGAATCATAATCTACGACCCCGAAAACCCCCAAATACCAATTTTGAATGAAATCGGATAACAATACTCGTCCGCCATATTGGAACCGCCATTTTGAATTTTTGATTTAAAAAATAGATTACGACCGATTCTCATAACTACGCACAAAAAATTTCATACGAATCGGTCGAGCCGTTTCGGAGGAGTTCGACCACTAACACCGTGACCGGGACAGGAGAATTTTATATATTAGATGTCATGAGTGATTATAAGACCAGAGTAGGCATCATGTTTCTAATCATATTTGATCACATAAAGGTGATATAATTATCATTATTATTTAATTTGACTTCAATATTTAAATGACATCATTAGTTTAACGTTAACTTGACATTAACTTAATATGAACTTAACATTAACTCATAATCACAATAGATCTTATAGGTCGCAGTGATCGAGAGGTCTCCCAGCCTATACGACCCATCCACAATCTACAATCTAACATTAACTCAACATTAACTTAACTTCAACCTAACATCCACTTAACATCAACTTAACATACATCATACATTAAAGAGTTTCTTAACATTAACTTGAAATTAACTTAACATTAACTCAACATCAACTTAAAATTAACCTAACATTGACTTAACATCAACTTAACATTAACTCAATAATTATTCAACATTAACTCAACATTAAATCAACATTAACTCAAAATTAACTTGACATTACCTTAAAATCAAATTAACATCTACTCAATATCAAATTGACATTAACTTCACATTAATCACTAAATTGCGAATACATTGACATTAATTCAACTTTCAATTGAAATTAACTTGATTTCAACTTTTTATCAACTTAACATTACGTCAACATTAACGACAATAACTCATGTTAAATCGACACTAACTTTCCATCAACTTGACCATAACTTAATTCAGCATAATAATTATTTCATTGGTACATCATTATATTATGTATTGTCACCGAAATTACGAACACCTGCCAAATTTCAAGTTAATCGGAGTAATGGAATTTTTGTTGAAATTTAAAAAAATGGCTGCTCCAAGATGGCGGACAAGATTTGGTCCGATTCCATTCAAAATTGGTGAGTGGGGGTTTTTGAGGTCAGAGATCATGATATTTTTGTTAAAATTTATGAATTGAAGATGGCGGCTTCCAAATAATTTTTTGTTTTTGTATAAATGACGATAACTCCGTTGTTATCAACACAAAACTATTACTGCGATATATCATCTGTAAGAGAAAAAAAAGTTATTTGTAACTAAGTCATAGTGAGCCATTACCTGCATTTGAAAAACTGAAGTTGGTGCTGATATCTCAAATTCAAGAAGAGTTGGTATAAATTTCATATTTTTTTCGAAATCGCTTCGAAAAACTGCCATGTAAATGTGAAATTAGTATTTGAATATTTTCATAAATAAAGAAGTTACGGAGGAGACATGAAAATGATCAAAATCTGTATTTTGCCTATAAAACAAAAACGAATAGATTTTATCAAAATATGTTTTCACATTATAGTTGGCCTTGACAAACTCCATATTTGGTGTCATTTCACCGACCTCGTATCTCTCACCGTTAAAAAGATACCCATGGTGAGCATGGTAAGTGGGACACACTGTATACAGGGTGTTTCTTAAGTACGTGTAGAAAATTCGGGACCATGTTGCTGACGTCAAAATAGGAAGAAAAGTTCGTATAAATATATGTCCCAATGTTTTTTTGTTACTGAGATACAGAGTGTCAAAGTTGAATTCTTATTTTTGTTTTTTGTCAATAAATTTCAAAATAATTGTGTTATCCGAATAAAGTTTGGTATTTAGGGATATTTTCCAATGACACACTTTTTTGTGCGTACCTGTATCACGTTTCATGGTAGTAAAAAATATTTCTAGAACACTTTTGTGTACAAAATAAATTCCTGGTAGAGATCGCTGCGAGCAACTGTTTCCGAGTTATTGGGATTTGAAATAATCGATGCGTTTGAATTATTTCGATGGTCTCGTTAGTCGCCTCTAGGGTTCCTTGATGGAAATTGACGTTAAAGTCATCTTAACAGGGTACGGACAGATCATAGCTGCATTCTTTTTTAATGATCTAGAGATTTTAGTTTTGTCTACTGGCATCCCTGACATTGCTGTCACGTCACATCCATGGGCGCAACAGAAAATCATTCAAAATTTTTATAATAGGTATGTACAGGGTATTTACTTGTTGAGGAAGATCATATTATTATGGCGAACGCGATTCTATTCAAAATTTGAAGGTATGTGGAGTTTTCCGGGGTTGGAGATTATGATTGTTTCGTCAAACTTGGGAAATTCAAAATGACGGATCCATTATATACCAAATGAAATTTCTAATTATTATGCTCTGATTCTACTTAAGATTGGTATCTGAGGGTTTTCGGGGTCGAACTTTATGATTTTTTGTCAAAATTGGAAAATTCAAGATAGCGGATCCAATATGGCGAACGAAACTTGTAATCCGATTCTATTCGAAAAATCAAATTTTGAATTTACTCGGCCGTTACTTGGTGGAAATCCATGGCAAATGTAAAAACTTCACAAACGATAAGATTTCCACAAAATTCTTATACACACAACATATTTCGCTAATACAGTTGCTTCGTCAGGTGATATACTGGTACAATGAACAATGAATGAAACAAAAAATCAAAATTGGTATCAGGGGATTTCCGAGGTCGGAGATCATAATAATTATTTCGTCAAAATTGGGAAATTCAAGATGACGGATCCAATATGACGAAAGACATTAGTTTATATGATTATCACTCTACCACAAATAGATATTATGTAGGATGCAAGAGTGAAAATAACGTGGCTATAAGTTATACTGCGTATACTTAGCGTATACCGAATTCTTTGTTATTTTCATCAATGAATTATTCGAAAATGACTTAATTTAAAAGAGACGGAAAAATCATATGTATTACATGAGGGTGAAGTATATTCTATTCTTTATCAGCCTACTTTTCGTCCTAGACGAAGTTTTATACATAGTTGTGATATAGTAACTCCATAAATTCTTCTCCGAGTTGGATTTCTGAAAATATATTTAGCACACATGACATGACTGACATGAGTACAGTAGTCTAGATACCCACATTGAGATTTCCACCATTTCTTAATCATAAGGCTCAGCTCATTCAGCTCATAAATAAAATCAGAATTCATTCAGTCAATTCAGTCAACCCTGGTATACAGTCTAAGAACAGTCTCTATTGGTGAAATATATCAAGCTTTCAGTACAATTGATATGTTCCCTAAATCGCAAAGATTATGCTGGAGTAGTAAACTCTAAAACTAGAGGATTGGTCATCTATATCTTGGTATAGTGGAATCAGGAATGCCATATGGAAATTACGTATGATACGCCAGTGACCTCAATATAACCTAAAAAACGAATGTCAAAAATCTAGTGTTTATCCCCAGAATTGAATAAGGATGGAACTATATAACTGTTTCACAAACACTTTAGAGTGAGAGGAGACGAGGATCTGTCCGTACCCTGTTAAGATGACTTCAACGTCAATTTCCATCAAGGAACCCTAGTCGCCTCTAAGTAGTAAATATCAGAAAGCTGTTCTTCAGGCAGTCAGAGAAGATCCACAGACAAGCACGAGAAAAATTGCGCAAAATCTCACGAGCCCCATTGAAATAATTCAAATGCGAGCAGAGGTCATTTCCTCCCATGTGTGTTTAATGCTCTCCGCTACGCGTTGTGCATTGTTGTTTAATATAATGTGAATCACTGTTTGATGTAGATAAAATAAGGGATGTGTTAATGATTGATTAATTTCCTGGCATTTCTGCTATCTTGGTGATCCATTCCGGCAAGGTGTTTACTAGGAACTTGTTGCATCCATATACGTATAAATAAACAATACGGATCATAACGGGTGCCAGGATGAAGCCAAAAATATGAAACAAATGAATATCCATAAGGATTTGGTGGCATGATACGCATGCACCATGCGCTATTATAGTAGTCATCAAAGACATGCGTTTCGGTGGACAATGACGTTTACTAGCCTTTCAATCAAAGCAGTATGTGTCTGATCGTTTCAAAACTTCTTCTTATGGATAGTCATTTGTCTTCAAAAATCGGCTTCATGTTTCGCTATGGAAACAGATAGAGATTATCCGTATTGATTATTAATACGTATATGGTTGCATCATGTTTGAATGATTTGCAAGTTATTTTTTTTTTGTTGGTTGTTGGAAAACTTCTTTGCTATTATTTTGTCCAGCCATGGCAATGAGGTCTAACCATGTTGGTACAACTGATAAATATACTTCTTCTTATCGTGTCATTTGGCCTCATAGAGTAAAAAAAAACGTTAGTCGGCTCAATTATTTCCATAACTTGAAGTTATCTAGGCACAGAATTTAAGGCTATTCGGCAAAATTCTGTCATTTTTGACTTCGACATTGACCTCACGTTTTAGTTCGGACACAGAAATGACAACTGTTAATGAATTGCGGGAATTCTGAAGGGAATGGCGAGTTCATTTCTTTGATTTTTCAAAGGAAATATCAACCATCCCTTCATATAGAAGGAATGTATGAATCGGTCTGGATTTAAAATTAATTTGAAGACATGCGAAATTCGTGACATGTTGAAATTCATTTCTCATGATAGCAGGTAAGAATGAAACTATCTTTTAGGCCCATTTTCAAACAGAAAATTTATTAGATCCGTTGTTCCATAGATTTACAAAACAGACTATTGAAAAAAATGCCTATATTATCATGAGATGAAATGAAAAACAAAATTTTTATAGAGAAAGAGGAATTGATTGCAAAACTACGTAATGAAATTGAAAATTTGATAACGAAACTGTAAATTACATCGTGATATAATAGCATTGATGAATGTCGTTCTCAATACTGACCAAATTGAAAATGTATCAGCAGAAAGGGAATGCAACAAAAGGTGGAAAATCAAAACAATCTTCATGTTTTACACTTTATCACTCGGGTACAGTTTTACATACAATAAGGAACTAGCTATAAGTATATCCATATAACTATTGTTCTGCGAAAAGTGTATAGCTATATAAATTGAAGTGGATTTTTATACCCCATTTCTATTTTCCGTCTACGACAATGATTGATTTGACAGAAAATATAACCTCTGAAATCGTATCTGACAATCAGGCGCTACTAGGGAAATTGAAGAGACAAAGGGCAGAATATATGTCTCATTCTTTTATTCACTTAAACCATTGTAATATAGGAAATAGAAAAGGACAGAAGTTCAGCTGTGTCCGAACTCTTATCTAACTAATGCTAGATTCAGATAAGAGTTCGGACACAGAAATGACAACTGTTAGTGTTATTGAATGTTTAGATTTACTGTTTTACCAGTAACCAAACCGATTTTTAACGCCTCGATACGTGTTTCGCTAACTATGTTAGCATCTTCAGGAGAAGATTAAAACTAAATATCCTATTCTAGTGTGCTGCTTATATACTAGGTATATGTTCACTCAACTCTGAAAAATACTAACCGTCAAGTTAATGTTTGTCATGGTTGAGTTCACATGTTAATCTTAATTTTTATTTCACTAAACTATATAGAGGGCTATATGGAATAGGTCCATTATCCTTATTCATTACTCTATTACTATTCTTAACTATCTCCAAGCTTTCATATGCGTCTAGTTTCCTAATGTTATCAACTAAAAAAGCGTGAGCAGTGTTGCAAAAATTAATTTAGGTTCCTAACGACACAGTGGAGTAATTGAATGCCAATAATTCATTATCAGTCCACTCGCCCATTGGCTGTTGGCAACACTGGCTGGACTTTCTCTTCCAGGTGTTCCGAGAGTGGTGTGGAACAGGCCGAAGCTGGGCCACCAGGGCCCCGTTCGTCGGTCGACGCCCATCGACGAGATCCCCTTTCTGGCCGTGGCTCGCAGCCTCGGCGATCTCTGGTCCTACAACTACCAGAGCAACAGCTTCATAGTGTCGCCTGATCCTGATTGTTGCGTGCTCAAGATCGACACGGATGTGCATCGGTGTTTGGTGTTCGGTACCGACGGCCTTTACAATATGCTCAGCACTTCAATGGCGGTAAGTTTATACAGATCGATCCTTCATTAGTTCCTTTGAAAATCCTTTCGCCAAGGTAGGTTTAGGTGAGGTGTAAACGTGAGTAGGCCCATGTCAGTTGGCCGTGGGCCCACCATGTACCCACGGCGTCGGGTGGGGGTAGCCTCAGGTGATTCCAGACACCACTGGTTAAAAGCTTGAGGTCCTCACTCTTGTCATGGTAGCGGACACCCATCAAACGGGACTGGAGGATTCTGGTCGACATGGGTAGCTGGGCTTGCTCAGCGAAAACTGGAAAACTGGTGTACATTTTGCCTTAGTTCGTCAGGGAGGGGGCAGCCCCAAGCGATCCTACCGCCAGTCATGGTAGGTAAAGCCGGGTCCTCTCCGGTAAACGAGGTAGAGGAACGTGTGAAAGTCCTCGAACGATCAGTCATTCAACGGGACGAGAGGATTCTTGTCAACATGAGTAGCAATCAGGCCATAGCCTCTTGCGACGGCGACCCATCAAACGTAACAAGATGAATCTTGTTGACATGGGTACCTGGGGTGATGAGGATAGCACCATCAGGCCTGATGCCTCACCAATTGGGTTGGACTCCAGGGGGCAGCGGTTTCCAAAAACACCACCGGACTACGGTAGAGGAGGTGAAGAAGAATCCCACTATGGATCAAGTGCCTGCCTCGGCGGATGAGCAGCGTTTCTGCTCGGGCACTGACACTGCAGAGCCAGTAGTCTGTCCTATCAGACGACCTCACCATTGGTATAATAAAATGGTAGCAGGAGAACATGCCGTTACATAACGGAGATGGCTCTAGCGCGCTGATTTGGCGTATCCAAATCCTCCATTTCTCTCTGGGGTGCTGTCGGTATAAGTCGAAAGATAAGGGACCGGCAGTCATCCCTATGGGAGATTTGTGAGAGGGGGGTGGGAGTTGGTACCACCTGATTGCTACCCCGGCAATATTATCATTATTATTATAGGCCCATGTCAGGCTCTCCACTGCGGCCAATGGCCTATTGTGGCTCACCTTATGGTTATATTTCTCCCAGTATATCCAATCTCTTGGCGAAATTAAGGGGTACGTTGGGAGAACAATTTATCAGGTTTTCTGGCCCTACTGTTGTATTGCCAAATGTTGACAATCTGATTCTGGCCGCAGCAGGGCATGTACATAAAATGTTTTAGCCGTTCCATCCTCCTCCATGTAAGACGGCACTCTGCATCTTGTACAAGTCCGATTTTGTGCATGTGGTGTTTGAGTTTGCAGTGGCCAGTGAGCAAACCTACTTTAAATCTGAGATGTGATCTACTGAGTTCTAGTAGTTTGTCAGAGTCCTGTTTGTTCCTTGTACTTACAAGCAAAGAATGCTTTGGAATCGGCTAGGCCCGGTGGACTACGCCAATACTCGAGTCTTTTGTTGTCGGCCCAGGATGTTACTTCGCAATGCTATACCGATTACCGGCTCTGGCCCAGTGCACGATGTTTCGGCCCCCTTTTGCTTGGACATCCGCTGTTTCGTTCCCTTCTAGGCCCGGTAGCTGTTATAATTAACATGAATTCACTGTTCTGATGCGAGATTCCCAGGAGTGGCACTCGAATCTAGTATGTATTCATCAATAACGACTTGTCATATGCTGTCATGGTTATGGCTATCAGATTCTGAATAGAATTGAAAGGAAGTGCTTTTATAGAGTAATACTGGTATGTATGATCTCAAAGTGTACTAATAATAAAAAATAGAGTAATTGTTATTTAGGTCGACCTCAAACACATATCCACATCACGGTCCTATTCACATGTGAAATCTATCAGATTTCGTGAATAATTAACTTGACAACAACAAATGGCAGATGTCAACTCACTATCCTCGCGGACCAGAGTTGCCAGCTCGATTTTTATTTCATCAGTGGATGCCTTGTCAAAAATTCAGATCAATTTTATGCTAGTCGAATTCCAAGAAAGGATGTTGAAATAAATTAATAAATAAAATAATCATATTCCTAATTCTCAATTTGAAAATAATCACAAATTTCACAAAATATAGTTACATCGGTAACTTATAAGATTTGAGTATATAAAAAACAGGAACGAGAACATGAACAACAAAAATACGTAACAAATAAAAAAATTCAACGTAAGAAATAAACTGTTACAACAGTGGTATATAAAAAATGGATTTTATCTGAATCAGATGAAGTATTGTCCTTTTTTGGTTTATACATACCATTGGTAACTATATGTTAATTTATTACTTATTTTGTAAAATCAATGTAAACAGAGCGTGCCGAAATATCATGCAATTTATAAGTGTATGTGATTAACTAATGATTAATAATAGTAATAATAGTAGATAACGAGAGAAAAACACTACTTTCCTGGCTATGTGCCACGCAGAATATTGAATTACATTCTTCCGAAGTCTATGCAATGATTCGTGTAGACGAATACAATTGCAAGTGTTTCTTTCCTGAATGTCGAGTTGTGCAGAAATTGTTGAGGAACGCTTGACTACCTACTGACCGGATTCGAGATTTGTCTGTCAGGGGTGTCCGCAGATGGTATTCATGACCGCCATCTGGTGGATCCATCAAAAATGGTCGTGATCTATAAAAACTTATCGAACATCGTAAATGGCAGGTCCACATCGTTCAGCAAGTGGAGAGGCACAACGAGAACGCCGCTCTCAGCGACTCGACGTACAAAACATGGTTGAATCCCAGCAAACTGCTGGTCGAGAAGGCGTTAGATAGGTGGCACACCACCAAGATGCGAGCCGACAACACCTCCGTAGTGACCTTGATGCTGGATCCTCCGGGGCCGCCCAGAGCTCAAGTGTTGAAGGATAGGAAGAAGAATTTACCTGAACGAGGTATGTCAAGGTTGCACTTCCATAAAAAAACTACTCAACACATGAAATGTAAAATCGCATTTTTTCGATCAAATTTGAATCATAACTTTCGATTGCCTCAACAGATTTTTCGATATTCAGTTTCCAATAAGGCTTGTATTTATAGTCGCTCCTTGAGGTGACCTCGTCCCTTAAGTACTTAAGGACCAATTTCCAATTTATAGGTTTAATATGAGCTCAAAGGAAGCCTCAAGGAAATGTCAATTCCAAGGAAGGTAAAGAGGTACCTTGAACATTCCTTGATCCAATTTCTAGTATTTTTTCAGGTTATGTTATGAATTCCACTAATGGAATGATGAAATTGAATGTAGCAATCAATGAATATGCAAGTCTTGACATTTGTACTGGGAATCTGATTCTAGTATATCGATTTCCAGTAGAAGCTGATTCAAGTTTAGTTAAAAAGTACATGGAGAAAATCCCAAATAATAAAGTAAAATCAACATACATTTTCAACGAACAACCACACAAAATCACATATGCATTCGAAGTATTCAATCAAATGGATATTTTTTCTCTCCCTGGCATATTATTCCATTGCAGCTTGAAAGAATTTGTTTTTAATAGAGTAATTTTTGTATTGTAATATTCCAACATCGTCATCGATAAGCTCTTCGAACCTCTCTTTATTTTGCGGAACCTTGGAAACATTTTGTGTGTGATCGAAGTAATATATTGTATTGTTTGAAGATTCAAGATTATTACTGGATACCGGATTATCAGAATCTTTCGATGTCCACACTCAACAGTATAAACATTGTCAAATTCGACATTTCACATTTTGTGACGAACAAGTGACATGAAACAACAAATTTGGTCACAGAACACCAAAATTATACACTGTTGCCAAGTGTAAGGGCTCCTTTTAGAAGGAATACTCAAGGGAGGTCTATAAAACAAGTTTAACGTCAAGTACTGAGGATTCCTCAAGGAATCCTCAGATAATTGAGATTTTAGGAGTTCTTGAGGAAACGACTATAAATACGGGCCTAAATGATCGTTTCATTGACTATAGAACTTATGGACATGATTATTGCATCACTTCAGAATGGAATTCCACAGGATGATGATCAAAGCAATGTGATTTTTAAAAAATTTCACAGACCTTCCGTTTTAAAGAAATAAAATTGAATTTTTTTCTGGTGTCAAGAACATAACGCACCATATGTTTTCTCGATACTGGTCAAAATGTTTCGAATTTGTCATACTTATTACTGAAATATGAATATTTTTATAAGAGAATGCATAAATTGATGTTCTAATTTCAATTGGATTTGTGTTCCTGTCATTCTGATTAAACGGTGGTCGAAAAACTCGAATAAAGTCATTTTGGCTATTTTGTAGTGTGAAAACTAATTGCTCACAGGCTTGAAAATAATGACCCGGTTCGATGACACCACGCCTCAGGAAAGCATAAGCGACGATTGTGATAACGCCTCCGCGCCTGGCGAGACCGCCTCTCGTGGCCCCTCCCCCAGAACGACCTTGGAACCCAAACCAACCACGCCCTATCCCTTCGCCACGCCCACTCCCTTGACCACGCCCACATCATTGGCCACGCCCGCGCCAATGACCACGCCTACGCTTCTCGCCTCTCCTACCGACTGCGCCGAGGACGAGAACAAGAGCGAGTTTCCTGCCACCGAGTCGGCTCCGGAGATCACGTCGGTGTCTTCAAGTGACCTTACCGCCATTTCTCCTCTCAAAGAGAGGAATTTTTTACCGAAAGCCAGAGAGAGCACCAGCTTCGATCCGAGGTATGTTGTAGACACAAAGATTCAGGGGTGGATCCATACGATATTTGAGGGCGGGGGCATAGGAATTATTACAGTTCATTGACCGTAGGTACAGCAGAAAAAAGGGAATGTTCATTGATGCCTTCTGAAATAAATGTGTTTCTTTTCAGAAAGATTGATTTTCTTGAACATTAAATAATATTCCGTTTTTTTTTTCAGGAGTCAAAAATAAGATTCGGAATATTCGATATATTTCATAATAACTAACTGACAAATACTGCCCAAAACCTCTAATCCATATAGCGCCGCTATTATAATAAGTATCAGCGATTCAAAAACAAAACGTGAAAGAAATTACTCATCAAATCCTATGAGCAGGATCTGATCATTATTTTTTCAAATTCCAACTGAAAGCGACTTATTTTTTTCGTCAAAATATGTTTTTTTTGTTTGAGGGTATTTTTCTGAATACAATGATATTATGACAAAGACAAGTAAATTTTCGAACATAATTCGTTGAAATAAATTCTCAATTGACAAAAATAGATATTTTGATACAATTTTGAGATGTATCATTGAATGTGGCAGTGAATTTCAATAAAATGAACGTCAATGTTTCATTTGTCAAATATTTCGACACCATATGTAATCTCATGTATGTGTGAATTGTGTGTTAACGACGGCCAGTTAGAATATTTCAATTTCTTACACAGCACACTTTTATAAATCTCATCTGGTGTTGAAATATCTGACGGAATACTGACATTCATTTCCTCGGATTCGATTGCATCCCAAAATTGTATGTCTAGTCAACTGAGCATTTATTTTTTATTTCAACTAATTCTGTTCAAAAGTCAGCTTGTCATACATCACTGTATTCTAAAAAAATATGATTCGAAAAAAAAACATTATGCATGGCGACATTTGAAAAATAAGTTGATTCTGGCTGAAGTTACTGTTGAAATTTGGAAAAAATATTACCGAAGCCTACTCATAATTAACTGATGACTAATTTCATTTACTCTTTTGTTCTAAAATCGGATCATTAATAGCAGCGCTACGGCTTGAGGCGTTTTTCATGATATAATCTGTATGTAGATTTGTTAAATATTTGATATTGGATAAAAAAAAAGTGAAAAAACGAAAGTATTCTCAAAATTATTGTTATTCTGTATCTAATGTCTAATGTGGGTCGTGGGTTGAGGGCTATAAGGATCATGTGGTTCGCAAGGGGGGGGGGCATGGCCCCTATTGCGCCCTTCCCCTGGATCCGCCCCTGCAAAGATTTAATGATAAACAGGATGGGTGAATGTTTTCTTGGGAAAAATGAGGTGAGCGATAGATCTTCGAAAGATATCAAGGATATACTGGATATGTCAGATGCAGCTCTCATGGTGAAATGGTATATTGTCCATATTATTCACATCAGTATAAGGGAGGAGAGCACACGCGTGAATTCAATTTGAATTTTCGGATTTTTTTGTGATGGAACTATTCATTATTGATTCAAACGGCTAGCATGTCCCTATCTCAACACTTGATTCACTATCGCCTTCCATACAATTATATAATTTCAAAGAAATAGGTATTCAAAATGAATTGAATATAATAGGAAATAGGTATGGGAAACTCATCACCGGTCGCTAGTTTCTTTTCTGGTTTCCTCTTCTATGCTATTTTTTCATTGAGTTTGAGTAATCGATTTATAACACGTTGCTTATCCTTCGATCTGAAACATGGACATATTCAATATCGAATTTCAAATGAGTTGGGAATTGAAACTATATGAGTTTCATGGTATATGGAACTAAAATATATACAAAAACTATTTTTAAATTCTTTGGCCTGTCGTGTCTCCATTGAGACATAAAGGCGACTTAGAAGAAAGGGAGATGAGGATTTTGGAAAACATTTTTACCTTCCTCTCTTCTTTTCCTATTTCCCTTTTATTTCCTTATTCAGTAATATTATAATAAGGCAGAATTTACAAAATGCAATAATGGCATATTCATCACCCGTCGCTGGTTTCTGGTCTGTCCATTCTTCCATTGGGCTTGGATCGATTCATAGCATGGTTCTTCGTCGATCTAAAACAATTGGAATTGAATCTCGAATTTTGGATTAATTGAGAATTGAAATTGTGAAAGTCTCATGGAATGAGAAATTGAAATATATATGGAAACTGTTTTCAAATTCCGTTGCTGAAACGCGACATATTCCACTACTACTCAAAAAATGAACGGAACAGATGGCCAACAATTTTCTCCTTAATGAGAAACACTGTATATACCTAACCCATCAGGCGCCTACCCCGGTTGCAACGAGGGTTTACCGATGCCAAGGGTCGATACTCTCCCCTCGTAAGGGTACCTGTCGTGTCTCCATTGAGACATAAAGGTGACTATCAGAAAATGTTCTATAATATATCGCCTTCCACAGAGAATATTAAATTTGAAAAAAATATTCGTTTAGGATGGAGCTCTTTTCGAGATATCTCATTGCATAAATAACAAAACCATAACCTGTCAGAATGAAGCCAACTACCTTCTGCATTCCTGCTCCGAGCGCGTTTGTGGTTATGTATGTTTTTGTTTGCCAGTTTTACTTCTACTATTTTTTCAATCGTTTTTCATTCGTTAGCTATATTCTTCACCATCAGCTATTTTCTCACAGTTTGGCGCCCGGAAAATTGAAAATTGCTTCAATTCGAAAATAAAAAAAGCTTTGGACTTTAACGGTCGCCATTCTGTACAGCGTCATGAAACAGCGACATGAAACTGGAGAGTTATTTTATGAAAATTCATCTGAAGGAAACTTCCCCATTTCACTAAATTACAAATTTCACCACTGCGGATTGCCCTGTAGAATTCATTGTACGTTGTTGTGGGACACCTTGTATTCGTGGTGGTATTCAATGTACCGCCTTTCACCTATTATCGTCTCTTTATCAGGGAGTTGACGCCGAAACCGTCGGACGTGATCGAAAAGGAGAACCAGAAGACGCTCGAACACCGTCCGGACGACACGATCCAGTGCAACGAGGTGTCGTCCAGCAACATCGAACCGGACAGCGTCGACAAAGAGGAGTCTGCGGAAAGTTCGGGCAAAACTGCGAAGAGGAGTTTGCGCAGCGGGACGAAAGAGAAGGCGGCGGAGCTTGTTCCTGCGCGGACCAAAACGAGCAAAGAACAGGAAAAACCAAAGGTTAGTTTGAAGAAGAAGAACATTTATTTGACATATCTAACCCTAATATACAATATTATACATATAAAACAATTATATTGATAGTATAGTCCAATCATTTGGTAGTTTGGACAGGAAAAAATTGCTGAAGAATTTTTCTCAACGGATCCATATGTGTTTTGGAATGCTGAATATGGAAATTCAGTTATTGACTAGATTCGGGTATGGCTTCACCATGAAAATGGCAGAAAATTATGAAAAATCGGGAGTAGTTTTAGTTTTTTACTCATAACTCCGAAACTACTTGATATAGAGAAAAATTAGCTCAGATGCAAATTAAAACAAAGGAAATTTACTAAAAAAATAGGATAAAAATCAGCTCGCTAACTCATCTGGTTTGACCATAGTTTTCAAGTTATTCAAAATATTCCCATTTCAGACTTTCAAAGCCTACAGTCTGTCCACGGAATCTGCGATCTTCCTTGATTGGGTCTGAAGTAGAAATTGAATCCATAATATAGGTCTGCTTGTAAAAGACACTAATGGTTGCATGGATAAAAATTCTTTCTTTTGTGACCTTTTCGCCTTGGGAGACTCTTCTTCTGACAAACAAATTAGATACCTATTGTTAGGATATATAAATCGTTACTCGCTTTAAGTCATTTTTAATGAATATTATCAACAGTTATTGATATATCATAATAGGTCGATATCGGTAGCGACATCTGTGGTAGTTATCACGAACATTGAAGAGTAATGAAGATTCAACAGTACTTTCAGTTTTCTTTGTTCTACTCTGATAATGGTAACTACAATCCTAGAATTGCATTAGAGTGAACTCTATTAGTGCGAGGATGAAGTCATTAAATAGGTCAACAGGTTATAGGTAGAAATCTTTGTGCTTGAAATTCAACAGGTGTAATTACAGATATATCCGTTAGCCCTCCCGTGATGAACATTTATATTCAATGTTTGTTGTGACTGGTGATATGTTGGTTTGATGAACAGAAATATTGATACATTCAGTTTCATATGAGGTTCCTGGCAATTCCTCAGTAGCCTCCGGCTCATCATTCCTGATACCAGAACTAGGCAGGACACAGTTACATCGTTTGAGTAATTGTGTTCAAGAAAAAATAGTCATGTTATTGAGTTTTTCAAGAAAATATTCACATATGTGAACGATTAATTACTTTCTTCACCAGCAAAGTCCCGCACAGCCTCTTCGTTCTCATCATCCAAATCGTCGTCATATTCGGAATACATCTGACTGTTTCTGCAATAGCCCTCACAGCATTTGCACATTTTGGAACAAAACAACCCGACCTTCTTGCAGTCGCAGTTCTGTTTACAATCTCGTATGCATTTGCAGGCAACAAGATGCACCAGCTTGTCTGGTGACTGGCGCACACGGTTGTATGGTTGTTTGAAGCATCCATGCGTTGTTACAATCTCCTATGCATTTTCAAGCAACAAGATGCAACAGCTTGTCTGGTGCCCACGGTTGTATGGTTGTTTGTAGTATCCATCCGTTGTTTGTCAAGTACCATATCCCCAGAGCAAAGAGTTATTCCAAGAGGATAGAAAATAGTACTAGAAAAATTTTAATTTTCGTGCTAGATACAGAATGAAGCGTAATTGATGTATATTTCTGATTTGGAGGAAAAGTAAAAATGAAGACATAAAATAAATGTTGAGAAAGAAGGTTCAGGATACTCCATGGTGAGACACACTAGGCGGAAACACTAGCCTGGCGATGTCTACTAATTTAAAATCTGATATACGAATATTTTGCACAACTTCAAAAACTATTGTCAATTTTCAGGACACTCTAGCGGCTGAATGAAACAAGATATCGAGCCGATTTTGTTCTTGTTTCACAGTAAATTTTATAGGCTTCAATTTTTGTATGATGCAATTTTTCTCTAAATCACCTTGTTTCGGAGTTATAAGCAATAAATCAAAATAAGTACCGAGGATTCGAAGTATTTGGTGCGTGGTCCAAAGACTCCTGATCCAGTTCCCTCGGGTGTTTTAGACCCCTCCGTATTTTTTTTATCGCTTGGAGCGCACGAAAGGAAATCCCTATAATGTTCAAAGAACATCGTTCCTTCCCAGCGCTTCAATGGATTCTGTTCCATTCGCGCTTGTTGCTCAGTTCCACTCGGAAGTTCTCCTCAAAACTGATCTTCCTAATGAGTTGGTCTGTTGGAAGATCGGCGAGGTGTGTAATCTCAAATGTATATCTACGCTGTTTGCTGGCAATACTTGAAACGACCAGGCATTTCAGGGAATGGCGGATTTCACTGTTTGATGCCGACATATACATTATAACGCCGCGTATTTGATCGACTCCGATATTAATATTTGGTCAATGAATCAGGTTGTTTACCATCTCGTACAGGTCGGGTATTTTTCCATCATGCTGGAAGACAGCTAGAGTCCAACCAATCCCCAAAAAAGGGAACAAGAACCTGCCCAACAACTACAGGCCCATTGCCCTGTTATCAGTAATCTCCAAAGTGATGGAGAAAGCCATCAATATTGAGCTTATCAAATATCTGGAGAGCTCAGGAATCATCAATGATAGACAGTACGGCTTTCGCCACCGAAGATCTACTGGAGATCTACTTGCCTACGTCACCCATTTATGGCAATCTTCAATAGAAAAACACGGGGAATCTCTAGCTGTCGCGTTGGACATATCGAAAGCATTCGACCGTGTTTGGCACGAAGGACTCCTCCACAAACTACCATCATACGGCTTACCACCTCAGCTATGCCATCTCTTATCGAGTTTTCTTTCAGGCAGATCGCATCATGTGGTGGTGGACGGTGTATCGTCTGATACCATTGGCATCAATTCCGGCGTTCCACAAGGATCAATTTTGGCACCAACATTATTCCTGCTTCATATCAATGATCTGTTGGGAGTAACAACTTGCCCCATCCACAGCTTTGCAGATGATAGTACCCTCCATACTGCGTTCTCTTCCAGAATTCCCATTTCTTCCCAGGAAACTAAGAATTCACGGCGCAGGCAGGTCAATACTGTCAATGAAGATCTTGCTGAAATCACAGCCTGGGGAACTAACAACCTAGTTGAATTCAACGCTACCAAAACTCAAGCCTGCATTTTCTCTAGAAAGGCGGAACTCAGTAGGCCCCATATTGTAATGTCTGGCTCCACCATCCCCACCAAACCCACCATATCTATGCTCGGTATTTCCATCAGCAACACTCTTTCATGGGATAATCATGTCAGATCCATCACAAAAGCTGCTTCACAAAAACTCGGATTCTTGTTCCGTGCGAGAAGCTACTTTACACCTCAACAGCTTTTCATGATCTACAAAGCGTAGATACGGCCTGTTCTAGAATACTGTTCCCACATATGGGGTTCAGCACCAAAACATACGCTGATGCTCTTAGATTCCATCCAGAGAAGAGCCATTCGCCTGGTAGGTGACGCCACACTCACTCACTCTTTGACATCATTGGAACACCGTAGAAAGGTCGGCGACCTTTCACTTTTCTATCGATACTTCCACGGGAAATGTTCTTCGGAAATCTCTGCTATCATCCCTTCACTAGCAATACCAATCAGACGAACTAGACAAGCCCAGTCAGCACATCCTTTCGTTGTCAACCTCGAAAGATGTCGAACAGCCCTTTATCAAGACTCCTTCATCCATAGAACGGCTAGGCTCTGGAATTCATTGCCTGTGGAAGTATTCCCAACAGCATATAATCTCCAAAAGTTCAAAAAAAATTCCAATACCTACCTCCTGTCCCTATCCTCCCTAGGAACGCACGGTGTTCTTTGAACATTATAGGGATTCCCTTTCAAGCGATTAAAAAAAAAAAAAAAAAAAGCACAGCGTTGCCAATTTTTACCCAGGATTTGACTTTCTAGTTCATAAATTATCTTTGTATCAGCATTCGTTTCATCACTAATCATCATTACTATCCTTTGATTTCAGATTTCTAAGAGAAAAATCGAGCTGGAACAGAGCATCCCACAACCCAGGAAAAGTATAAGGATAGACAATAATTCCAAGAAAACCGAAGAGGTGGAAGGGAAAGACAGGAAGGCCTTCCAGGCCGAAGAAAAATTGAAGCGGCTAGCCAAAAAGGCAGACCTCGCCAAACAGCAAATTGCCAACCCGCCCAAACCGAGCCTCGCCCAAAAAATACTGAGAGGAGTCAAAGAGGACGCCAAGAAAAAGAGCGGCGTTCTCAATAAACCCATTGCCAAGAAAAAGATACAGGGCGTACTGCACAAGATGAAGAAGAAATCGTCATTGTTGAAAACTCGCAGAGTGAAGACAAAAGACGAGAAGAAAACGCTGGAGAAAATTTTGAAGGCACAGAAGGCTCCCAAAGTGGCATTTCAAAGATACGTGAGCAAAAATGCTTCTCAACGCCAAAGGAATTCGAAGATTCTCCGAAATACTCTCACTAATAAATCTGCGAATGAAAGCAAAATTGCCGAAGCGAAGGAGCGAAAAACAGTGACAAAGAACCCTGTTGTGGATACTAAAACGCCGAGACGTGGTAAAGCTGGTAGTTCAAATGTACCAGAAAAAGAAAATGTGAAGAAAACTCCGAGGAACACCGAGAAAATGCTCAAAGGTAATCTCTTTGAACATTTTTTGTTTTTCAGATAGAGACGCATGAATACTTTTATCAAAAAACATCTCATTAGGTTTCGAATTTTTATTTAATCGTGTAAGTGGAGCTTGTACAGGGTGATCAGTTAAGAGTAGCGAGCGGCCATATCTCATTAGATATTGATGGTATAGATTTGAGAAAAAAAATCATGATGAAAGTCGTCAAGAGAAATTGCTGGAAATTATTTTCGAGTTTGTCAAACATCCGGTAGAGGGCGTAACAACCAACACCAAGTAAAACAACGGGATTTTTATAGAATTTTGTTCAATGAAAGTATATCGATGATATCATTTTTATATTCACTGACCATTTCCCTACATTTTTTGTCTCGAACGTTTTGTTCTATCTATCAAAATAAAGCGGTGGGGGAAGTTCAATTGTTTTTTTTAAACAAACCAAGATTTCTCCCGTTTATTTCGACCGATTTTAGCAAACTTAGGCTCAAATAAAAGAACATAATTTGCCCTACAAAACGCTTATTTGGTTTTGAATTTTTGACTTTCGCTGTCGCCGCTAGATGGCGTTAACTGAAATGTTAGCAAATTCCTGAGTTCATTTCAAAAAACACAAATTTAATGGTATATTAATTTTTATATGTTTTAAAAGAGGATAAATTTCTCTATAATTTAATGAAAATAATTTATCATCTACCTTTTTTTGAACCGTTGATATTGACTAAAATATAATGTTATTACATTTAAAAATGGCACCCCACTGTGTTTTATTAAAATGAAAATCAGTTTAGTAATCTCTCATTAGTTGCTAACAAGAAGAACCTATTGACTTTTTTTCGTTAGACAAACGGTTTTGGATTGAAAAAATAAAATAGGTTTACATACTGGTTCAAATTTATTTTAGATATGGGCGCCCCATGTAAACCTATTTTATTTTTTCAATCCAAAACCGTTTGTCTGACGAAAAAAAGTCATGGGATTCTTTTTGTTAGCAACTAATAAGAGATTACCAAACTGATTTTTATTTCGATAAAAAACAGTGGCGTGCCAATTTTGAATGTAATTAAATTATATTTCAGTCAATATCAACGGTTCAAAAAAAGGTAGATGGTAAATTATTCTCATAAAATTATAGAGAAATTGATACTCTTTTAAAGCATATAAAAATTTTATATACCATTAAATTTGTTTTTATTTAAATAAACTAAAAAATTTGCTAACATTTCGGTTAACGCCATCTAGCGGCGACAGCAAATGTCAAAAATTCAAAACCAAATAAGCGTTTTGTACGGCAAATTCTGCTCTTTCATATGAGTCTAAGTTTGCTAAAATCGGTCGAAATAATCGGGAGAAATCTTGAATAAACAATTGAACTTTCTCCACCGCTTTATTTTGATAGACAGAACAAAACGTTTCAGACAAAAAATGTAGGGTAATGGTCAGTTAATATTAAAATGATACCATCGATATACTTTCAATGAACAAAATTCTATAAAAATCCCATTTTTCTACTTGGTGTTGGTTGTAAGGACCTCTAGCGGACGTTTGACAAACTCGAAAATAATTTCCAGCAATTTCTCTTGGCGACTTTCTCAAATCTATACGACCAATATCTTATGAGATATCGCCGCTCGCTACTCTTAACTGATCACCCTGTACATGAGGGCTCTGTCTCAAGGAATTCAGTGACTTGGATGTTCACTGTTTTTTGCACTTGTGGGAAAATTAGCACGAGAATTGCCTGAAAACTGTCAATGTTGCAATTCAATATGAGAAGTATCAGTTGTTTATTTTGTCAGTTCCTTTTGAAATACTGAAGTAATGAAGTAACATCATAGTGGAAGGAGAAGATGGTGTTCCTACGCGCATATTATGTGACGTCATCTGGGATACCAATATCAGCTGCTAGTCACAGACAGACACCGTTGCCATGGGCGTGCGCAATGAATTCAATCACGTTTATTGAAATTTCTATGAGTTTCTCGATCTGTTTAGAAATAATTCAATTTATATAAACGGGTACCTATTCCTTCGATTTTACTATTTCATTGATACTGGAAATTGTGATGTTGAGGTAATTCGCAATCGCAAATAGCAAAAACATATGAATTATCATGCATTGCCAATCCCATCTCAATGATCCACTACTGTGTCGATTCTGACAGATTTTAATTCAGCAGTTAACCACGTTGACGTTGCTTCTGCTCCGACATCGACAACGGGAGTATCAATTTTTGCCGTTTTGTTATTCAAATCTTTGCTTCAATTTATATTTTGTGAGAAATTAAGAGTTTTGAATTCATTTTCAATTATTTCTGAGTTGATATTCGACGGAAGATGTTCTGTAGGAATGGCATTTTGTTTCAAATATTTGTGATTTTTTGTCAAGAACCGTACTTTCACAGTTGTTTGGGAACATTTTGCATGGAAATGTTTTGAAGTAATACATGGTGCTGTAATATGAATGTGATGATAATATGATAGGAGAATACTTTGGAATGAGGATATAAGGAATATAAGGTAGGTACCATTATTTGAGTTTATATTCTGTCGGCAGCAAGCTCCCATCGTTTCATTAGGTCTCCATTCTTGGAAAAGTAGAAAAATTTAAAATCTGTACCTTTTGTATGTTAGTTGGAATTTCCATAACCAGAAACGAAACAAGTGGGCATTTCAAAATTATTTCATACAAATTTAGTACCCATATATTATCTGAAGTTCGAGACATAAGTTGCGTTTTATTCGGTCCATTCTGGTAGCGGTGGTGGGAACAGAATGACGTTTACAAATAAAACGAGAAACTTCATAACCTTGCTTGAGAGAATTTACATAAGAGGTTATATTTATGTTATATGGTAAAATGAGCACACTCAGTATATATCAAGTTACCAGATAACAGCTTCTCAGTATTTTCATATGGTGAGAAGCAGAATCAGCATTGATCATATTTCTATCAGAGAGCCATCAGAATTTTCAAGTAACCATTGTCTTTTGAATAAAGTAACTTGTTCAGTAGAAAAGTGATTTTTAAAAAGTGAAATCTCAAAGTAGAGATATAACATTTATATATGGGAGATCCAAATAATTTCAAGAGCATAATACTAGAGTTAAGAATCTAGAAAATAAATCAACTAATATTTGAAACAGTGATTGTGGTGATTGAAGAAACTTCTCTGAGATCGACAGAGTTTATTTTATTTGGAAATAAACATATGAAACCTGACTTACTTGAAAGAATCATGAACTAGTGAAACTCACGCTGAAAATGTATTCTAAATGTCTTTTACTTTCAAAAAGGTTCATTTTTCGTCAATCAATTTGATTTTATGACACCTGTCAACAGTCATTCCACATCATTCCTTGTCAAGAGACGGAATGGAAAGTAGTAACCGGAATCGGAAAAGTTGCAAATAAAACGACACATCAAACTTATTCTGGTGTCGGAATCGGATAAATAAAACGCAACTATAAATACCGAAAACAAATAATAGCAATGATAGTTATATCCCAGCTGACATCATGCGCAGAACAAGCCGAGTTAGAGCTTTCTGTTGAGCACACCATCTTCTTCCACTATGAGTAACATAATAATATAATAAATTATCAACTAAGTCCCTAGGTATTGAATGGGTCGCTTTAAACCCAGTTTGAAGTAACTAAAGCACACATTTAAGTCTCGGAAATGAAAAAAAATGATAACATTCTCTATTCCAGTTGGTTCTTCTATGCCTTCATCGGTTACGGCAACAATAAGCATGCCAATCCCTGAAGAATCTTCAAAATCAAAGACCTTGAGAGGAAGGTTACAGCAGAAAACGGAAAGTTTGAAGAAAAATGTGATGCGTAAGAAATAAGGTGATAGTTTGAAGAAACTATAAAAATCAACTATTTTCTTGTACATTTTTATATTAATTTTAATTAATCAAATAATTGATACGGTCATCGGGGCGATTTTTCTTTTCACCGAATTATTACAAATGTTTTTGCATTCATGTTTTGTTGTCTTGAAAAATGTTTAGGTATCTTTAGTTCCATATGAATATTTAATTTGTGTAGGAGTATTCTTTATTTTGAATATTTTCTGTTTGTTTAGTCATAAACCATCAGTACCTTCAGTTGATTTTAGTTTATAAGGGTTTTCTTACAATTTGGTAACCTTATACCAACTCATGTGTTATTTTTAATTCATTTTTCGTAGATTCCAATATCACATATCTATTGAGAAACTTCTCAATTATATAAATTCAATATTGTCTGGGAATACAATAATTTCAATAATTTTTATATTGTTATATTGTCATCCAATTGTAGTACACTATTTTATCATTCAGTTTTTAGTATCTTACAAAAATTTTGTGCCTTTGTTACCAAAAATATTGGAAAATGTTACATATATGTAAACTTAGGCAGATGAGATATATTTATAAGAAAATTATTATTTTCGCAAAATACAGTTTATAGTTATAAATTTTACAGTGCTTTTATTCAATTTTTCCCATTTAGTTACCCTAACCAGTGCAGTGCTTCATTGATGATAAATTAATGCTGATTGGAGCTCGATATGTCTTCTGAATACATGCCGCTCACGGTAAAACAGATAAAAAAATCCAAACGTCTTTCGAGAATATCAAATGATACCACACAAAATTAGTATACTGTGTATCAACTATCAGGTGTCTTCTTAGCAACGAGTATTCTGAATACGAGCGCAGCCAGAAGACGGAACCAATATATATGGCGCACGAGTTTTGTAATTATGGTCCGACCGTCCGACCCTATTCAAAATTAATATCTAGGGGTTTTCGGAGTAGGAGATTATGATTCTACTGTCTAAATTAGTAAATTCAAGGTGACAGATCCAATATGGTGGACAAGTTTTATAATTATGATCCGATTCTATTCAAAATTGGTATCTGGGGGTTTTCGGGGTCGGAGATTATGATTATTTCGTTAAATTTGGAAACTTAAAGATGACGGATCCTATTATAGCGAACGGAATTTGAAATGAATGTTAGTTTGAAAAACTAACGAAAAACGACGCTTTTAAAGATTGACTAAAAAAGTTTAAAATGAATAAGTAATTGAAAAAACTGAAGAGATAGATTGCTGAACTAAAAAGAAGAAGAAAATAAATATAGTAGTTTATTGCAAACTAAAGTATTACGCTATTATATAGATAGCCAAACTGGAAAGAAGTATAAATAATATTAAATAAAAAAAAATTGTTTTGATAAATGTTCAACTAAGAAAATGTTTTCTAGAAATAATGTACATCTCAAAAAACAACGTTTACCGTGTCTGCTAGTATTTTTGCTGAGATATATTCAGGTGCACTAATTCATTTTTCGAGCACTTTATTTATCACAAGATCTTGATTTCAAATTCTTATCGTGCGTATAGGCAGGAGAGTAGTTGTTTTCTGTTGAATAAACCAAGAAAGAGTTGATATTTTCATCACGCATTGAGAATGCGAATTCTCAATGTATTTTTTATAATGGATCAAAAGAAGTGGAGTGGTTGGGGGGTCATTTGTAATCGAACTAATGGTACATGTTGTTATCAAATTGTTGATGGTTCAAAAGTTATTCAATTTTCCTGAAAAATGCGACCCATTTTATATGTATCAAATGGGTAATTTTTTCTTATGATTGGTTTATCTTTGTGGGGTAGTTTTAAAATCTGCCAGCGGCATTCAAAAATCGACTTAAATATTTCATTCGATACCAAAACTCAAGGAAAACAACATTTTTCTACTCACATAACTAAAATGGCATTTAGCGTACGGATATGTACCACGCTAAATGATCGATTAATCACGGATTGTCGATCTGTGATTTATTCAAAATATTAAACACGTTACCATGGCAACACGATTTCTTAAACACATTACCATGGCAACGCAGTTCATTAAACACAGCTTCAATAATTTGAGACATGTCTGGCCTGTCCCTGTCAATTATATTAAAGGTCAACTGATATTTTCGAATTTTGTATATCAGAATTATTCAAACAATATTCGTTTGCATCAGAATCCATCATTAAAAATATATGCGAAAAGTAGACGAAAGTGAAATCGAAGAGAATGTTCTGGTACTTGCATATCTCCAAGAAGTCAAAAAATGAAGCATCCATCTTAGAGAACAATTAATTTATTCTGCGCGTAGCATGACAATAAACGTGAAACAAAGGTTAGTAAGCAATGGACTGGACACATATATCTACAAACAATATCACTTATGTTCTCAATTCCAATTCCTTTCGAATTATTTTGTAGGTTAGCAGGAATTTCAGGTATGTTAATGTAATTTTCGGAGTTCGTAGAAAAATCATAGTATGTAACGCGTTTATAAACTCTTCTAGACACTCGTTTATTAAACACTCGCTCCGCTCTGCTCCGCTCGTGCTTAAACTACTCGTTACTAAAAGGACGTTTAAAACACTTGTTACATAAGTATATAATATACTATTTTCTCAGTTAATTGATAAGAAGTGATACATGTCATATAATTATTTCTGGGAAAGGCGTGCATCCATGTGGATGAAATTTGTAGAAGAATAAATCACAAAATGGGACATAGTTTTATTCTGATTGATTCTTTTTATAGAAATGAAAAAACATTAATAGCTTCTGAAACATCAATAATTGGATAACTACCTACATCTACAGTTAGTTCGATTATTGGAAATGAGCCCCCTTATCACCCCACTTCTTCTGATCCATGACTTATGGGACCCCCTGTATATATACATTTTTTAATGTTCATAATTATATCTGAGAATATTCCTTTTCAATATTTATCAGATAGTTTATTTATTTCCATACGTTTTTTTTCCACATCAATAATAATTGTGCGCGTGAACTTGAACACTTGGTATTATATAATTACCAGTCGCGCCGCGGAGAGGGAAAAACCAACTAACAATCAATCAACCAGTAACACGAAGTAGGTACGCCAAGGTAGACAAATAATTCACCTACATCAACACCCATGACTCAGTGAACACGGTTCTGCACTACGACTAGAACCCCAAATCCAAAAATAATCGACAATCGCCGTCCGCGCGCGGAACAGCGTAATCGCAGTGTGCCGCGACGCCTAAAATGGCGGCGACCGACGCCACGTAGACGCGATCGCACCTGCTAGGCGAGCCATGGCCTCTTCGACCATGGACAGGGTTTTTGTGACGTTTTGAGTGAAAGTGGAAGATTGTTATGTGGTTTTCGGTGAGCGAAAGCAAAAATGAGGAGGAACCAGCACAGCCAGTCGCAGCTGCAGATCGAACAGAGCGAAGAGGATTCCAAGACGTCGTCCCCAGTAGGTTTTGAAAGTTTTGTTTTCGTGTTCGTGATGAGTCACTTTTGTTTCTGTTTTTGTCGCAACGTGAGCGCAATTATGATAATTGAAATAGACAATATTGATTAGGTCACGATGTTAGCTAGGTACTTGTCTATATTATTCAACCACTTCTGCTTATTGATATTTGTTGTGCAATTTTTACTATACAGGGTGTAAAAAAAACGTACCGATTTTATTTTTATCTAGAGATCACAAGGTGATTCCCGCAAAACCACACATTAGAAGTTTTCGAGGGTCAAACAACTCTTTAAATATGGTGTACACCGTGAGTGTTCAAGTTCTTGATTACTTATCTAAATCCTTTCATCATTTTAATTTATGTAAATTACCATTTCCGTATCTTCAGTATCTCCGATTATTTATTAAATATTTACATTACCCTCTCAGTATTCTAATACCTTTTAAGTATACTTTAATTACTTTTCAAAAATTTTTGTTACTTTCAGAATATTTGAATTACTTTTTTCTACAAACGTCAAAAAATGACTAGGTTCGCGCATTACAAATTGCAAAGTGACACTTTTTTTCAGTTTCCTACGTTACACCATGATATACCTTGTACAAAACAATGCAAGTACCTACTTCGCGCATTGTTGTGTAAAATATATGAGATATTTATATATCAACTTTATGGTCCTATCGGAATGTCCAACAATAACTTTGTTTCATCTCTTGGAGCGCATGAAATGAAATTCCTATCATGTTCGTGGAACATCGTGCGTACCTATAGGGAGGATAGGGGGAGGCCTTTTAAGCCAGTTCAACGCTATTTTTTTATCAAGCTAAGCATATTTTTACTTTAGAACTATATTTTTTGACGTTTGTAGAAAAAATACTTTGGTCATCTCGACTATTCTTTTAACTCGGCTACGCTACGACTCGTTCTCGCTCGTTCTTGCCTTAAAACACTCCAACTTTTATTTTAATTGGATGAATTTTCTTACTAACTCAAACATTTTCCATCAGATATTTCTCTCGGAAAACTGACATTAGAGTTCATGTCAGTTTTTCTCGTAAAATTACTGGTCGGCAAAAGTTTTTCGTTCCCAAGAGAAATTTATCCGATAAAAAATGTCTTGTGTTTTTACTGTTGACAAAACTATTTCATTCTAGAAGCTTTGTCACGCTACTTTTAGTCACTAATTTTGGTCAAACATATGGTTGTCTTCAGAAAATAATAATACCCGCTTCAAATTTCTCTAATGTTTGTTGATGTTTCTGTCGTCTATTATTCAGAAGCGAAATTTATTTGAAATGATTTTTTTCAGTGCAAAAATGATTCCCAAGTCATCTTTCAAAATATCATCAAACTTATACTTCACTTATCTAACCAAAGTTTAGGACTGTTTTGTCGAAGTTACGATTAGGATAAATCAAAAAATATCAAGAACCAAAAGTTGCAATAGAACGTTCAAATTCAAGACACTTGTGTAAAATTGGAATAAAAACAACTTTTCTTTGTAAACTTCTTTGAAATTCATTTGAAAAAATGTACCGAGAAGGCCATTTTTCATCTTTCTTGAAGCAAAACTTAATGACCCAGTCGAATTTCAAAAGAAATCATTATCAAAAGTTTTTCCCATCCCTAATAGCACACAACGTCCTAGGGACGTCCCTATTTGGTACAATTCAAGTCCGAATGTCTCGGTCCAAAAATAAGGGTCCTTGGGACGTCCCGTCCCGTACATCTCATGCAATGTCCGAGCAAGGACGTCCACGGAATGTCCCAGCAGGTACATCATTTCAAATGTCCTAGAAATAGCATCCCTTAGACGTCCCACGTGGTACATATTGTAGAATGTCCATTCAAGGACGTCCTTGGCATGTCCCTGATGGAATATGATTCTTCATGTTCCTATAGGGACATCCATTGGATGTCCCGAGTAGTACATATTCTGGCATGACTTCAGATCGTATATAATGTCCCTTCTAGACAACCATGAAATGTTCCTGATGGTACATTCCTTCAAATATCTCTGCACAGACGCCCTTAATATTTCCAGGATTGTATAACAATCGAAATGTCTCTTAGGGACATCCTTCGAATGTCCCTTAGGGATATCCGTCGGATGGACGTCCTGCATGTCCCGACAGGACGCCCTAAGGATATCCATGGGACATAATTGTGTTATTAGGGATATGATGCCAACTTTATGAAAGACACTGTATATATTATTCAACCACTCCTTTATATTTCGGGATGAAAGAAGTGCATATCTACTATAGGTACAGGGTGTAGAAGTTTTCCAACTTGCAGTTGGATTCAAAACTTGAAGATTGGTATATATGCTGTTATAATCGAATATTTCGAATCTACCTGCAATATAGTTCCAGCCCAGCTATTCAGGATGTTAAAAGTCGACAACATGTCGTTTTTATTCAAAATAAAAGTAGACATTTTCGAGATTTTAATCCAAGTGCAAGTTGAAAAACTTCTGAGGTGTGGCCTACTAAATCACTCTGTATTCTAGATGGTATATATGAAATTGAAATAGCCAAGTTTTGATACACACAGAAGACTCAAAATATTCCAGGTAGATTGAAAATAATCGATTATAAAAGTATATTAATATTCAGGTTTTTAATTGAACTGCTAGTTGAAAAACTTCTAATGGGTGGTACGTAAATCACCCTGTACTTACTCACGAACTTACTTACGTTGAATAAATGAACTTATTTTTGAAAGACCCTATACAGGGTGTAACTGAATAAGTGTAAAACATTTGAGGGGCTGATTCCTCATCGAAAAAAAGATGGGATTTTTCATGTAAAGCAACTTCATTGGAGCATCCCATGTTAAGATACAGCCCCTTGAAGGGGGTACATAAAATGTGTTCATCAATTTTTTTCACAAGCACTAAAAAAGTTACAGTATTCAAATTCACCTGACATTTTCTACTACCAAAAAGACACTTAGCCACTAATTTATTTGGTTCACCCCATGGTTGTGAGGGGTGGAAAACGCAACACCTAAATTTTATTTCCAATGTAACTTTTTGTCTTATGAATTGTTTACCATTTAAAAATTTATTTCCGATAGCCTGTTTCATTCTAAATAAAAAATGTCCCTTGAATTTTTTGCCCAAAATGAACCAGTTGGCAGCAAAAAAAAAATGTTAAGATCAACTACAGAGATACATCGTCATAAATGCGAACTGGATTCATTGTCATTTTGTAGTTACTACCTGCGTTAAATAATTGAAGGGATTAAACCATGGGGTAAACCAAATAAATTACCGGCTAAGTGTCTTTTTGGTAGTAGAAAATGTCAGGTCAATTTGAATTCTGTAACTTTCTTAGTGCTTGTGAAAGAAATTGTTAAACAATTTTTATGTACCCACTTCAAGTTGCTTTATCTTGACATGGGATGCTCCAACGAAGTTTCTTTATATGGAAGATTTTATCTCTTTTTCTATGAGGAATCACCCCCTTAAATGTTTTACACTCATTTAGTTACACCCTGTATATATTTGTATACAAACTCATGACTTAAAATGTCAATTGAACGTTTCCGTGGAATGTTTTTCATAATCGTTATTATCAACATTAAAAACCAGTCCATGAGCTAACTAATGAAAGTAAAGGTCAATGCATATTTAAAAAAAATTTATTATCATACTTATTCATGTACTTATCTATATGTATATACAGAACATGAAGGTAGATACCTATAATATGAAACGGAAATAATTCGTTCGTGACGATTTTGTCGAACAACAAATATTTGAACTTCCTATCAACTAAATGAACTGTGCAGGACTCTGGGCTTGATTTCCCTCGAGAATGGACTGGTAAAAGGTATCTTTTTCAGCTTTTCTGCATCCACAAATAATATTATTATCAAAAAAAGTTCATGAATTTTATTTTGTTTACCCCGTTTTCGCCATTTTTGGATCACTTAATTGGAATTTTGTATTCAGGAAACACAATTTCTCCTACTAGACTATACAGGGTGTTTCACAGATAAAGGGAAATATTTCAACTCATAGGAGTCACCAAGGTGGTTCTGAAAATACCATATTTGATAGGTCTTCATAACGGATTTATCGATTTGGAATAATTATTCATTCGTCTATAAGTATTGAACTACCCAGTATATTTTTCTGAAATTTGGTATGGAGCTCATACTTGGGACATTGAATTCATTCACCTATCGGGCGAAGTGAATATCCAGGTTCGGCTTCAGGAAAAATTTATATTTATTCGAAATATTAAAATAACACACTGTATGTAATAATTGACAGAGTTCATCAAAGGAATCGTGAAGAGGAGAAAAAAACTGAACTGGATTTGATGCTTTTTGTTTTCCCGCCACCAATTCTCATCGTAACAACCATAAACAGAAAGCTAAAGGTATGTCAATTTGAAGAGTATTAAAATTATGAAACCACTTTTGTTACAGACAAACTTGATATTTAATTTACATTGTATACTTTTGTTTAATGTTTCCAGGGAAATAATTTAATAATTTGAGTTTGATAGAATTTGTCACTTTCTGTGAATAAAAGTTAGTGAGCATATTTGGATTTTATCTATTACATTGGCCCATCGAGCACAAAATTGACCGCTATGGAGCAAGAAAGTCATACCGGAAATGCAGCAGGACCTGGAGAGGTCCGAAGAAGTAGTCGAATTAATAAGGGTGTTCCACCAAAGAGATTTTCAGCAATAGACACAGCAAATCTCAGTTCAAGTATGTCTGACGTAGCAGATCATACGAGGGTTGCTGGTGTAAACTCAATTATTCTGGGGCCACTCAGGCTTACTTTCAGCAGCAAATGTATATTAAAGAAATAACTTCAACTCCAACTTTCAGTATTTATTAAACAACAATCTCGTAAATTCAAAGCAAAACATTCGCGGAATTCCGTTACTAAATTGAATATTTCTTCTTTCTGCTTGGTACTAATATTTTCTCCAACTGGTATCATATCCATTGTGATAGGCTGTTTCACTTC